GGCAGCAGCCCTACCAGCGGCAGTGGCAGCAGCCCTACCAGTGGCAGCAACAGCAGCCACGCCAGCGGCAGCAAGGACACCTCCGGCCGCAACAAGAAGCTTGCCCTCGGGCTTGGCCTGGGACTGGGACTTCCTGTGCTGATTATTCTGCTCGTGCTGTTGGGCATGTGGATTATCGCCCGGAAGCAGACCCCGCAGAAGGGCGGTCCGGTGGAGATGGATGTCATCTCCTAATGCTCTCGGCGCTCCCGAAGCGGCGGAGGCCGTTGCTTTTCTTCGCGCCCTCCTCGAACAATGAACTCGAGCCTCGCAATAAATGGATCTTCTGTGCGTGTGTGTGTGTGTGTGTGTGTGTGAGAGGGGGGGGGGGGCCTCACTTGGTGTCTCACTTGGGGGCCTCCTCCTGGTGCTCCCGGCGCCGGTCCCGTCTTCCAGCAGAGGGAGAGCCCTCGGGCACAGTGTCGCCACCGGGCGGGGACCGGCCATTGTGAGGGCCCCCCGGCCGGGCGTACACGACGAGAGCCCCCAGGGCCGAGGACCCGAGGTGCGAGGTTTGCAGAACGCCGGAATGGACCACCAGAACCGTGTATTTTGCGGTCTGGGGTCTCGGCGACGCCAGCGCCGCGCGGGGCCTTCGGGCGCGCTCCACCAGACGCCGGCGAGTTACGGGCCATTTGCTCGAGGGCATGGCCCTGGTGGGCGGGGGGGGGGGGGCGCGGGCCTGCCCGCCGGGGCATGCGCCCGGGCCTGAGACTGACTGGATGGGGGCGTGTGTGGGTATGATGTGCACGCTCGATGGGGCGTTCCTGCTTGGCGGCTGTGCGCGTCCGGGGCCCGCCCTCCGCGGCCCCCCCCTTCCGAAAAGCCAACGGACAGATCGGCTCCGCTGGCTGCCGTCACAGGGGGCGACCGGCCGGCGCATTCGTGCTCTGTTGCTCCTGTCTATCTCTCTATCTCTCTCCTTCCCTCGCTCTCCCCCCCCCCCCCCCCCCTCTCCTTTGCCGCTCTCGAGCAATGTGCCCAAGCGCGAGCGTGCCCACCGGGGCCGACGGGGTGCCGTATTACTACCGGAGGGGGGCAGGGGGAGGGCCGCCCCGACGGCCGGGCAATGCGGCGAGAGGCCCCGAGAGCCCGGGGGTGCGGGGCCGCCCGGCGGGCTGAGCCCCATGCGGCGGCGGCGGCGGCGGCCGGGGCGCCCGCGCCCGCGAGAGCACCCCTGCCCTGGCTGCTCCGCCGGCCCAAGTGCACCGGACATGCGATGGGGGCCCCCATGACCGCGGGGCGCCGAGGGGGATTCGTGCCCGGCGGACCGGCACCGCGGGGCTGCTGGCGGCCGCCGGCACCGGCATCGGCGGGCCTGCGATGTGCGCGCGTTCGGTGGCCACGATACGCCCACCGGCCGGCCCAGCGGGGGGATGCGCTGGCGGCGCTCGCCATGTCCGGCGGCATGGCCTCCCTTGACTTGGTCCGCCGACTGGGCCGCTGCTCGAGAGGCCGCGCGCTGGCGCCGTCCCCGTGCAGGGGTGGGAGCCACCCGGCCGGGGCTTTGCACGGCGTGTGGCGGTCCTCGCGCAGGCTGGCCATCCGGCTGGGGGGTTGTTGTGTGTGCCTGCCCGGCGCTTCCTCCCAGCCCTTGGGCTTGCGAAGAGGCGGCCGCATGTGGCTGCGGCGCTCGGCCTGGGCGCGGCTGCCGGGGGGGAGGGGCTCACCGGTGCTGTGTGGCGTCCATGCGGGACGGGGGCCGGATCGCGCCTGGCGGCGGTGCGCGCGCGCATCCACCGGCCCCCTCCTGCGTGTAGGCTGGCGCTCGGGCCGGCCCGCGGCGGGCCAGCATGCACATGTGCCCGCAGAGACGCGACAGCATGGACCTTGCCTGGGGCGCAGTAGAGCACATGGCGCCAGGGCGGGTGGCCGTGTGGCGGTGCCGGCCTTGTGTGGGCTTCGCGGCGGCATTCGCCACTCGGGCCAGGCCGGCCGGAGGGGAGACCGCTGCGTCGTCGGATCCGGCGTGGATCCGGGGCGCCGGGGATGTCCGATTGGCCGGCGACCCGGCGCGCTGGCACGCCCCAGGAGAGCTGGATGGGGTGGCGCCGGGGCCGGAGACGCGAGGAGGGCGCGGGGCGCGTGGCCTCGAAAGCACAAGTACATAGGCCGTAGATGCGCGAGGTCCTCGCACCAAGCCGGGGGTGTAGCTCAAACGGTAGAGCGGCCGCTTTGCATGCGGCAGGCAGGGGGATCGATACCCTCCGCCTCCATGGTTTCTTTTTTCGCGCGGCGCAGGGGGAGGAGGGGGGGGCCGCACTCTCGGCGCGCGCGGGGGGGGGGGGACGACATGGACACGCAAAATGCATTGTCCGGGTCATTAATGAGAAAATAAAAATAAAATAGGATTACATATTCTTGCGTTCGCCCCTCCGCCTTGCTGATGTAGCAGGTTCATCTCGCTTCATGCCGTTTCATCTCGCCTTGGGCTTGGACATGTGCGGCCCCGTGCGAGGACCGGCGCTGTAGCAGGGTTCTCACGGATCCAGTCTTACGTCAAAGGAGTGAAGCTTTGACGGAAGCTATACCGGAAATCTTACTACTGGTTAGGGACCGCTCGGGCATGAAGGAGGGCGTACCGAACCAGAAGGG